TGGGTGAGGTGGGCCTCCACTTAGGGCTCAGTAATGTCCACGGACCAGCGGACGTGGCGGGAGGCACGAGGGAAGGAAGACAAGTAGCGCATCGCAGACAGAGTAGCCAGGGTGCATTCGCATGGGTCAGCACTGGAGGAGACGTCGCTTGGGGTCCGGAGGTACTTTCTTGGAAATCCTGTTAAGCAAACTGCCAGTCTCTCTCTCAGAGGGGAGGGCGGTGTTAACTCTGGGACTTGCTGCTTTGCCTGATTATCCCTGGTTAATCGGAGCTTTTGTTTTTCTGACTCATGATTGGGAGCCTTGCACCTGCAGTCGCTGCCCGTGACCTTCATACAGACGGCCCGTGTTGCAGGCCCACAGGCTGGCCAGCGCAATGGCATGGCCTGCAGGAGTGCGGCCGGAGAGCTGTAAGGCCCGGCCCAGCCCAGCCATCCTTCAGCCCCAGGGCAGCCCTGTGAGGGCGGCCTCTGCCCCCTTAGGAGTTTCCATGCTTCATGCTTGCAGCTTGACCGCTAGTTCCCTTGCAGGTTCATGGGAAGTGGTAGTAAGGGCTGTCAGGCGGGAGGAGAGGGCGTGAGTGGCAGAGAGGGCACGCCTGCTGGCCGAGGGTAAGAGTGGGAGACGGGCAGGGAGCCGGCCCTGGGTTCTCAGATGCCCGCAGAGGAAGACAGGCTGGGTGGGGGCGCTGAGGGCGAGGTGAGTCACGGCCTCTGCCCAGAGATGGAGGGTGCCCAGCGCTCAGGTCAGATCTGCTTCTGTGAGCCCAGCTGCTGTGCCCATAGCTTCTGTGTTGGAGGCCACGCGTGGGGCCCCAGGGCCTCGCTGTTGTAGCTCAGAGGCAGGTGCCGCAGGGAGTGGCCGTCCCGACACCCCAGACAGGGGCATCTGCGTCATCTTGGCACAGCCCCCTCTCCTGTCCATCCGCATTCTGAAACCCTCGCTCTCTCTGGAATGCAGACACCAGGTGACGATCAAGAAGGGCAGCGGCACCGTGCGTCCCAGCCCGGCTCCTCGGCACAGTGCCTCTCCTCCATACCAGTGCTGACGCCTTGGCATCCCCTCTCTTCCTATATTTCTGTGCCAGGAAAAAAACAGCCAACCACCTGAATAGCAGAGGGACGCGCGCACAAGGGCTCAGGCTTGCCGCACTGCCAGCGAGACAGCTTGCGCCCCCCCGGGGGGGCTCGGGGGGGGGTACACTTGGAGAACAGCTGGGCATTTCAGCAAAGGACGTCCTCCGGGCACCTTTGCAGCATTGGATGCATGGGCCACGCTGGGGTGAGGGTCCCCGAGCCCGTCCAAAGACAGGGTGTCCCTTTGTGACAAAGGGACGATAACTCTGGCCCTGCTGGAGGCTGTCCCCGCACCCCCTCCCATCCAGGCCTGGGAAAAGAGAACGAGTTGTGTGGGTGAGTTACACAGCCGATGGTTGATGGCTGCGTGGAAGCCTCGGGGTGAACCCCAGTGCTTTCTCACATAAGGAAGGGCAAACCTCGACGCGTGAAGCTGAGCGCGGGCCCGTCCAGCTCAAGAGAGTGTGCGGTGCAGGGGAGGGTGCTCTGGGAGCCACCTGACCGCAGTGGCTGGTGCAGCCCTCAGAGGACAGGGTGCCTGGCGCCGCACGCCTACACACGGGCACGGTGCGGGCAGCAGCCGTCCTCAGACAGAACCGTTCACCCACTCCGGGACTCCAGGCTCTCCACAGAGCTACTTCGCCATCACCACCACCACCACCCATGCTGGAGTGCTTCCCTCTCTCAGGAAGAGACTGTACCCACCCCAGCCCGCCGCCAGCCCCGTGCCCTGGAAAAATGCGTGTCTCAGACGCGTGGGGCCAGCAGAAAGCAGAGCAGCTTGGCAGCCCAGGGCTGGCGGCAGCAGCTTGCCCATCGTGCAGGCCAGGCCTCCCTTTCCGAGGGCCTCGAGGATGGGGCATGGCCCTGCTCTTCTGCCCCCTGAACAGGAAGTTGCCGTAGGCAGCTTGAGTCGGTTCGCTGTTCCGCACACAGACATTCAGTGCTTTTGACCAAACCTCGGCTCTGGAGTGCGGCTGCCCAGTTAGAATGCGCTCAAGTTTTCTGGTGTTTTGTTTTCCAGGTAGCAGAAGGTCAGGAGATTTGCGTGATTGAAGCCATGAAAATGCAGAACAGTATGACAGCTGGGAAAACTGGCAAGGTAGGCGCTCACGTGTGGCCAGCTTGTGCCGGCCTGCTGAAGGGAGCAGAATGTGCATCCTGTGTCATGCACAGGGGGAGGAGCCTGAGCGGGACCATGCAGAGGACCCCCTCTGCAGACGCCTCCCTCTCAGAGGGGACAGGGCGGCAAGGGGCTCCCGGCACCGGGCACTGCCAGCCGGTCTCGCACAGGCAGGCCAGCCAGTCTGTGTGTCACGTCCAGGCAGTCAAAGAACAATTGTTCTCCACCTTAATGTGTTTCAAGTTAACGGGCCTTTAATTTTTAATGTTTACATCTGTCTGGGAGGCAGGCAGTTATCAGAGATGCAGGTGACACAGCAGGAAGCGGTTTTACAGATTGCAAAAATTAATGTAACTCTTCGAGATGATTCCTCCACGAAGAGAAGAGTTCAGTTGCAGATGAAGAGGGCTGAATCCACGTGGTGGATTTCCTGGCTTAGGGAGGAGAAAGATGAATTAGTGCCAGACTTGGTGCAGAGTAAGACTTCTGTAATTTTTTCTTGAAGAACATGGCTAAGTCTTGTTCAGCAGTGGCCTCATTATTCCTGTGTGACTAAAAGGACGCCATTCCTGGGAGTGAGATCCTGTTCTGGAGGTGTCTTCCTGGCAGTGTGATGGGGACGGTGAGGACAGCACTGTGGCCACGCCCTGGGCACTTCTGGTGTGCAGCCAGGGTCGCATCAGAGGGAGAGAGGGTCTGTCGGTGGTCTCCTGGCCTTCCACCACAGGGCCAGGCCAGTGTGCATCCTGTCTTGTTCCAGAGAGAAGCCTTTTTAGACTCCTTTCCACATTTGGTTCTTATTAAAAGGTTTATTTATTTGAAAGGCAGAGTTAGAGAGGCAGAGACAGAGGTCTTTCATCTGCTGGTTTAGTCCCCAGATGGCCACAACGGCCGGGGCTGGGCCAGGCATGTCAGGAGCCAGGAACTCTGTGTGTCCTGTTCTCTCCCATGGGTGCAGGGCCCCAAGCACTTGGGCCATCTTTCACTGCTTCCCAGGCACATTAGCAGGGAGCAGGATTGGAAGTGGAGCAGCTGGAACTTGAACCAGTGCCCATGTGGGATGCTTGCATCGAAAGAGGCGGCTTAACCTGTTATGCCACACCACCGGTCCCAATTTGCTTCCTTTTAAAAAGCAAACATGAAAATGTGACAGCAAACAGGGCGGCAGCTCCTGGAAGGCCCGGGGAGCCAGGACATTCTGCATGGCCTGCGTGTCAGCCCACCTGCCTGGGGGCCAGCTCTTCCCGGCCTGGGTCTCAGAGCTGCTGTTAGTCCTTCCCTGATTCCATGCCTCTCCCCCCATCCTCAGGCCTCTTGAGTCTGGGCGACAGGAGTGGTGCTGACTAAGCCCGGGCTGCTGGCTCTCACCACCGAGGGCCCACAGAGAAGTGGTTCTGGTTCCTGATGGGCACAGGGCCTGGGCGCCCGGAGCTGCGCCTTCACTAGAAATGCGCCATCCCCAGCATCGGCAGCGTCAGGGGAGGGCTTCGGGCTGCACGCGCCTGCCCAGCAAGGCCTGCGGCACCCGCTGCTCAGGTCCACCCTGTCCTCGAAGACCGGCGGGCACGAGGGTCTCTGGGCTGCTCACCATGGAGGGAGTCCGCCTGCTCGGACATGCATAGTTGGCTTTTTTTTTTTTTTTTACAGGCAGAGTGGACAGTGAGAGAGGTCTTCCTTTGCCGTTGGTTCACCCTCCAATGGCTGCCACGGCTGGTGCGCTGCGGCCGGCGCACCGTGCTGATCCGAAGGCAGGAGCCAGGTGCTTCTCCTGGTCTCCCATGGGGTGCAGGGCCCAAGCACTTGGGCCATCCTCCACTGCCTTCCCGGGCCACAGCAAAGAGCTGGCCTGGAAGAGGGGCAACCGGGACAGAATCCGGCACCCCGACCGGGACTAGAACCCGGTGTGCCGGCGCCACTAGGTGGAGGATTAGCCTAGTGAGCCGCGGCACCAGCCTTATAGTTGGCTTTTTAAAAAAAATTCAGTCGAGCTAAATGTACCATGAACTCTCAGAGAACATTTCTACAGCCTCAACCAGGGACTGGGAGGCAGACTGAGTGGGACTTGTCTGGCATGAACTCGGGGGCTCTAAGCTGCTGGGTGCACCGCGGGGCCAGGGCAGGAGGCCAGAGAGCAAGGTGCAGCACAAACCCCGGCGCGGCTCTGGGAGCAGCGGCTCACAGGGCTAACGAGGACAGCGGGCGGCAGAGGCAGGGGCGAGGGCCAGCTTTCCCCGGGGACCTGCCCGTCCACCAGTCCTCGCGGGGGCTCGGGCCTCCCCGGAAGCAGACTGGGGCCTGCCCGCTCCGGGTTGCGGTCAGTCGTTCTTACTCGCTGCCCATTTTCTTTCCTCATGTCCCAGGTGAAGTCTGTGCAGTGCAGAGCCGGAGACACGGTTGGGGAAGGAGACCTGCTGGTGGAGCTGGAGTGAAGCGCTCGCCGCCTGACCACGCCAGTGCTCGGCGTCGTGGCTGCAGGCACGCTGCTGTGCAGGTCTCCTGTCGCCAGTCTGCCCACGAGGGCTCAGACTGACGTTCCGCCACGAGAATCGCCGATGGACGTTCAGACTGACGCAGGACTTGTACCCCAGCTGTGCCTCTGCCGCGAGCCGTCCTGTGTCGCAATCATGTCAATAAACCGAGCATTTGTCTAAGTATTCGTTTCCCTTTTTTTGAATGAAGACAGCATACACATACGCTTCAGGCTGTGCCAGGAGACTGTGAATACTAGTGTTGCATCGTGGTGCTTTTACAGATTTTAAAGACGTATATAGATTCTCGTTCTTTACTTCCAGTTCCATTGAACTAACATCTGCCATCTCATGATTATCTCCCTTCCTCCATAGCCAAGGACCCGACTGCTGCCGCTGACGACTCCGGACCCGAGACCCCGTGCCGTGCCGGAGCTGCCTGGAGGAGGTGACCCAGGGCTTGCTGCCTGACGCTGTGCCGCCCGCGCACGCTTCCGAGGACAAGCAGGTTGTCCAGGTCCCGTCCCCATCGGGCTGCAGGGCTGCCTCACGCACAGCTGTCGTGAAGCGAGTCCCAGTTAGGAAAAGGAGGCTAAAAATACCGCTGCTGTTTTGTGGCAGATGCGGTGGGCGCTCCCAGTCTACCATTAAGTTGAAGGGTGCGCCCTCCCCTCCCTGAGGAGGAGGAGGTGACTGAGGACCTGCAGCTGCGTCTCCTTGCGGTCCTGGCGTCCTTGGAATCCATTTCCCACCGTGCTGGTGAGCAGCGGAGCTGTGCGCCGACCGGAGCTCGCGCTGACGGAGAGCGGACGGAGGTGGGCAGTAATTGGCACCCTGTGCCTTGCTAACATTATTTTAAGTGCTGTTTGTATTTGGCTCGGCATTCTGTCAGCCCTGAAGACCAAATTACTGAGGTGTCGGCGCTTCTCCGAGAGGCCCTCCCCCAGCTGCTGCGCCCTCAGGAGGCAGGGCCGGGCCGGCTGCTGCCGCTGGGCACAGAAGCTCCTCGGGCGGCCTGGGGCGCGCCGCTGCGCCTCCAGATAGCGGGTGGTCATTTTTTACTAGATTGAATGCGAACACCTTCTGCCAGGGACGTGCACCCCGAACACAGAGCATCAACACTTCCTTTTTTTAAATTTGAATTTATTTGAGAGGTTGTGTCAGAGAGAGACAGACAGATCTTCCATCAGCCGCTTTACTTCCTAGATGTCAACAGCACTGGGGGAGGGGTGGGTGGGGGAACACGCCAAGCCAAACACAGGAGCCTGGAACGCAATCCGGGCCCCCCGTGTGGGGTGCAGGGCCCTAAATCCTTGAGCCGTCACTTGCTGCCTCCCGGGTGCACATCAGCAGGAAGCTGGAGTTGGGAGAGGAGCCAGGACTCACAGCCAGGCCCGCCGATCCGGGAGGCAGCTGTCCTCACTTCGGCATCGCATGCCTGCCGCGGCATCAGCTCCAACACCAACACCTAGTTTCCTTTTAAATGACCTCTCTAACACTCCGTGAGCCTGACGAGCACGCGGAGGCTGCTGCTAAGACTGCCGTGCAGGGGCCCACGGAGGTCTTTATTCTGATGAGTCACCCAAAACCCAGTTCTTCTCTCAACAGTTTTCCCTGGCGCTACAGACCAGAGTCAGTACAGCGGAGGGCCACACACAGTCTCCACCTTCATTTTCAATGTTGGCTTCAGATGAAAGGAGAAGAATCAGAAGAAAGGTGTGCTCCCCCGTGAGTCTCCACCTGCCACTTAAGGCAATTAAGACCCCGATTTTCCCGCCCAGTTCACCGGGCCCGCACGTCCTCGGCAGCAAGCTGTGTGGCAGCGGCAGGCCCCGAGCGCGGCTCTGCCCCCAGATCGGGCCCCGGGGGAAGGGCTCCGCCGGGGGCCGCAGAGCCGCTGCCCAGCCTCATCTGTTTTCCCTGGGGTTGTAGCGCAGCCCGTGCTGTCCCTCAGAGTCGTAACTGTCCAGGTAGGGCAGGTCGACCCACTCGGGCGCGTAGGTGGCCGTGCTGTACACGAAGCACTGCAGGCTGGCGGGGGCGGGCGCCGGCTCGCGGCCCTCCCACTGGAGCACCTGCACGCGCAGCACCGTGCGCTGGTACATGCGCGGGCAGTCCTCGAAGTCGTCCAGGAAGCGCAGCATCTGCTCGTCCACGGCGTAGATCTCGCCCGCCACGCGGTGCCCCTTGCCCGGGAGGTTGAGCAGCCGCGGTACGTTGTGTTCCCCGGCGATCACCAAAGGGTAGGGCTCGGCCGTGTGGCCATGGCCGCAGAAGGCCGCCGAGCCGTGCGCGCCGTCCAGCATGACCTTGTGATTGGGCTGGCCTCGCTTCAGGGTGCCGTACACGAAGACGTGAGCCATGGGCCAGGCGGCTGCCAGGAGAGAGGAGGCAGGCGGTCAGTGGGGGCTGCAGGCCCGCCCCTGCCTGCCTGAGCTGGGCTCCCCCGGGACTTGCTGCACACAGAAGTTTGCAGTTGTCATTTCCCCACAGCATGAGATGGTTTGGGCTGCGCCCCGACATTTAAGAATGTGAAAGCCATTCCTAGTTCGGGGCTGCTTGGGAAGAGGCACCGGGGCCACCGACCTGTCGGTCTCACTTCGCCACTCACCGCCGTCTGTGACTTCTAACAGTCTCTCATGCCTGGGGCATTTGGCCTACAGCTGTTAGGACGCAGGGGGCTGGCTCAACCAACTGGGTTCCTGCACCCCGAGGGGAGACATGAACTGCGTTCCTGGTTCCCAGCCCAGCCACTGCGGGCATCTGCAGAGTGAGCCAGAAGATGGGAGCTCTGGGCTCTCATGCAAAAAATCTTTGACCTCTGCGAGGGGACTTGGAGGGGGCCCTCCCTTCCCTGTGACCCCACAGACGCCACAGGCTGCCCGTCCGCTGCAGCAGAAAGCAGGGCACGCGAGCAGCTCCCCAGTACCACCGGGACGGACAGCTGCTCTTCAGAGAACTGCCCAGGCCACACAGCTGACCCAGGGCTCACGGGGCGCCCTCACGCAGCCCATGCTGCCCGACAGTCTGAGCACCTTGGGGGAGCACCTCTGCAGGTCGGCCTCCTCGGCTGCCACAGTGCGGGGACCACCTACCCAACGCCCCGTGGGAGCAGCTGGAGGTCAGAGGCGGCCTTGGCCAGAGCCCAGCAGTCACCTCCCTGCCACACCTTGCCTGGGCCCCTGGCATGGCCTAGAGCCGGCTGCTCTTGACCACTGTGTGGCGGGCGCAACGTCTAGACAACGGCAGCTGCCCTCTGCGGCCAGTGATCCGGGAAGAGGCGGTAGGCAGCCGGTGTCACGTGTGGTCGGTCAGGCCTGGGAGAGCCCTCACAGCTGCCCTTTGCTGTGACCGTTCTCTTTTTAGAAGACTTTGAAAATGGCACATTGGCTATTAGAAAAATTAGAAATAACCCAGCTGCAAGTGATAACAAGGTTTCAACACTGAATTTGCTCTCTGGTCCCAGCAGGATGGCCCAGCAGAACTGTCAGAGTCACCCCTTTCTCAAGGTCTCGCGGCGGTGACTCACTGTGACTCACGGCAGTGACCTTGGCTCCGTGTGAAGGTAAGCGCTGCGCTCGGTTCCGGCCGCAGTTACGCTACGGTCAGTGACCTGTACAGACAGCGGTGGAAGGACACACAGACAAGGGGCCACACCCTTCTCTGAAGGCCTGCGTTCACTGCTCCCTGCCCACTGCTGGCTTCTCAGAGGCAGCCTCTGGGGACGTGGGAGGTTTGCAAATAGGGAAGGAACCAAGCTCCCCACTTCTTTCCACACGATGGAGGCAACTCTTTCTTTTCTTTCTTCTTCTTCTTCTTCTTCTTTTTTTTTTTAAGATTTATTTATTTACCTGAAAAAGTTGCAGAGAGAGAGGTCTTCCATCTGCTGGTTCTCTCTAGATGGCCGCAATGGCCAGAGCTGCGTCGATATCAGAGCCAGGAGCTTCTTCCAGGTCCCCAATGTGAGTGCAGGGGCCCAAGGACCTGGGCCATCTTCTCTGCTTTCCCAGGCCACAGCAGAGAGCTGGATCAGAAGTGGAGCAGCTGGGATGCGAACGGTGCGCACATGGGATGCCAGCACTGCAGGCAGCGACTTTACCCACTATGGCACAGCACCGGCCCCGGCAACCCTTTCAAAAATGTTTTCATCTACTCGAAGGCAGAATGGGAGAGAGAGAGAGAGAGATCTCTTCCATTTGCTGGTTCACTCCCCAAATGCCCACAACAGCCATGGCTGGACCAGGGCAAAGCCAGGAGCCCAGAGTTTGATCCAGGTCCTCCATGTGGGTGGCAGGGCCCCAAGTACTTGAGCTGCCATCTCCTGTTCCCAGGATGCATTAGCAGGGAGCTGAATCAGAAGCAAAGTGGACTTGAACCAGCACTGACATGGAACACGGGCACCCCTTGCCGCAGCTTATCCCGCTGTACCGTAGTATCTCCTTGGAGGCGACACTTCTACGCCACACAAAGACTGTTGCGTTTGGGTGCTGGCGTTGTGGTGTGGTGGGTGAAGCTGTCACCTGTGATGCCAGCATCCCATAGGTGTGCCAGTTTGTGTCCTGGCTGCTCTACTTCCGATCCAGCTCCCTGTTCTGCTCACAGCCTGGGAAAGCATCGGAAGGTGGCCCAAGTGCTTGGGCACCTGCTACTACGTGGGGAGATGTGGATGCAGCTCTTGGCTCCGGACTGGCTGTTGCGGCCATCTGGGGAGTGAACCAATGGAATGAAGACCTCTCGAACTCTTCCAAACACTCTTTATTTAATAAAGGAAAAGGCTGCATTTGGCATTTTTCGCACGCTGTCTGTTGCTGGGTGTGTTAAGTCTCACCCTGCCTTCCACTCCCAAAGCAGGTGAACACAGAGTTAGACTCACAGCCCTGCTGTACCACTGAGTAACTGTGCAGCTTGAAGCAGATCACTCAACCTCTCTGTGCTCCAGCTTCCCCCACTGTGGAATGGAGCCCAGCACGGGCCTCTGGGGCTGACCCATTAGCTGAGCGAGTGGGCGCACGGGCAGCTCGTGTCCTGTGGGGGCTGCTGCTGTCAGAGCAGCCCAGAGCTGGCTCTCAGCCCCGCCGAGGGCCGGCCCAGCAGACTCATCTCCACTCTGCCTTCATTTCTGCCTCAGACCCCGCAAACGCAGCTGTCCCTGCGCCCCCTCTCGCCTGACGGCCTCCTCCTGCACAGCTCGTCCGTTCCGGCTCCTGTTACTCGTGTGGCTCCTAGAGGGTTCCAGAAATCACTTCCCCCCGAACCGTCCAGGTCTGGCTCCCTTTCCTGCTGTCGCTGAGAAGGCCGGCGTGGCGGGCTCGGCCACCCTCTCCATCCTGGGCTCTCGGGAGGGTAATGCCATCTCCCCTCCCGCCTCAGGTGCTGACGTGGATTCGGAATTTCCTTCTGTTTTCCTGGGAATCTCAGCCTTGGATCAGGGGGGAGTCTTCCTCCTGCTCTTCAGGTGGTGGGTAACCTGAGCCAGCCCTCCAACATCCTTAATAGTCTCCTTTTCCCGGATCTGTGTATTGTGCCGTCCAGTCCTTCTATTAAATGTTAAGACTGCCATGTTTGGGGCCAGCACTGTAGTGCAGTAGGTAAAGCTGCTGCCTGTGACGCCAGCACCCCATAGAAGCACCAGTTCACGTCCCAGCTACTCGACTTCCGATCCAGCTCCTTCCTTCTGGAAGATGGCCCAAGTGTGTGCCCCTACCACCCGCATGGGTACCCAGAAGCAGCTCCTGTTTCCTGGTTCTGGCCTGCCCCAGCCCTGACCCTTGTGGCCATCTGGGGAGTGAACCAGTGGACAGAAGATCTTTCTGTCTCGCCCTCTCTCTCTATAGCTCTGACTTACAGATAAATGAATAGTTTAAAAACACTTTCGTCCTGTTTAGTCCCCAGGCCTTTTTCTTGTTCTTCACAGACATAATGTTACCTCTTTTAAGGTCATCTTCTTTCCTGTCATTGTCTTTAATTTACTTACTTGAAAGGCAGAGCGCACTCTTCGCCGTGCTGTTTCACTCCCCAAATGCCTGCGTCAGTTCGGGCCCGGAACTCATCCTGGGTGTACCATGTGGGCAGCAGGGGCCCAAGTGCCTGAGCTGTCACTGCTGCCTGCTGGGCGAGCGTTAGCGGGAAGCAGGAATCGAGAGTGGAGTTGGGACTGTGTTGGTTTTTGTTTCTCTTAAAATTTTCTCCAAACGTGGGGAACCCCTGGCTAGCCTTCCACACCGGACACTGACAGGCTCAGGGCGCCTCGCCGCCCCCCGCAGCTGCGTCTCGCGTTCCCAGTACCAGCAGGTTCTGGCCTGGCTCTCTGCTGGGCTCAAGGGGAGCAGGTGGGGTGGGAGGGCATCTCCGCTCCCTGTAGACTCAGCCTTGCCTGCGGCGGCCCCCTTCACCCTCCCACCCGTGGCTGTGTCTCCACGGCTCTTCTGACGCAGTGGCCCCGCCAGCCAGCTTCTCACTGTGCAGGGACACAGGGCTTCCGCTGTCCCTTCGCTGCTCAACCTGTTACCATGCCAACTTGTGCTGTTCCGGAAACTCTGGCACACTCTCATGTTGGGAGGCATCTTGGGAGGAGGCGTGGACACAGGAGTCTGTCCGGCACCGTGCCCTGCTGAGGCAGCACCACGCAGCCCTGGCCCTGCCTCTGAGCCTGGAAGAGAATCCGAAAACGAGGGATGGAGGAAGAGCAGCTGCGGCGTTGAGGGGTGGCGAGGGGTCTGACTGAGGGAGAGCAGGGAGAAGCCAGGAGGGGAGCGGTCGTGGGCATCTGAGCGGGGCCCTGTTCTTCCTGCTGCTGAGACAAGCAGAGGGGAAGAGGCGGCAGTAGTCGCAGGAAGAGAGCCCTACGCTGAGCGCCTGGCACACAGGAGCTCCCAGCAGAACCCCGCCACTGGAGAACGCGTGTTCCCAGGCGCAGAAGCTACGAGATCCTAGTCCAAAGTGGGTGCCCGGCATGCAGCCAACAGCTTTCACGACCTGAGGAGGCCAACCGCCAAGGAAGAAATGTCTTAACCCGAAGTGGGCAGGCAGGCTTGGGAGGGGCCCGAGCACGGGGAGTCCTGGGGTGTGGCGGAGAAGGGCCGGTGCCCAGCCAGCAGCAGCAGCGTTGGGTCCTCCGTGGGCCTCGCTCACACGGCTGCCGGGGCCACGCTGTGCACGCCTGTGCAGCTCCGTGTTTCATGCTCTCAGCGCTCCGTGCTCAGTAGGTGAGCCTGGGGCAGGAGCGCGTGCCTCAGCCATGGCACCCTGGCCCTCCTGCAGCCGTCCCCGTCAGGGTGCTCGCTCTGTGGCGGGCCTTGGCATGCTGCTCTAGCTTGGTAGCAGGGAGATGCCGGCCTCACGCAGTACGTCTGGAAGTGTTCCTTCCTCTTCAAGTTTCTGCAAGATTCCAGGATGACTGCAGTGATTCGTCCTTAACTTCTGGGTGGAATTCACCACCGACACCATCTGGCCTTGGGCTGCTGCTTTGTTTTTTCTTCTCTTGGGGAGGTTTCTGATTGTAGCTTCAGTCTCCTGAGTTATGTAGGCCGGTCTGGGGTTTTTAGGGTGGCCTCATTCAGTCTTGGTAGGTCCGTTTCCTCTGCATTAGACTTGATTATTCCTAGTACTTCCTCGTAAGCTTGTCTCTGAAATGGGCTGTGATATCCCGCTTTCATTTCTGGCTTTGGTTACTGGGTCTCCTCTCCGTCTCAGCTGACTCCTGGTCTCAGCGATTGTCTCTCTGTATTCCGTCCTCGAATGTTGCTCTGCTCTCGTCTTCATCGCTGGCCCTCTGCTGGCCTTGAGGGGTTGACAGTGTTCTCTGCCGAGTCCTTGTCTCCCTGTGCCCTTGTTCCTGGGCTGCCATGTCCAGTCCCCCTCCTCTCCCTGCCCTTGTTCCTGGGCCGCCACGTCCAGTCCCTCTCCAGGGGCTGCCGGGAGGCTCTCATGAAGAGGCCAGGACACCTCTGAGTGCGAGAGCGTCAGGACCCCACTGATGAACGGGGCTGGGTGCTGCCCCTGTAGCAGGGGCAGGTGAGGCCCCTCCCTGCGGCTCCACCTGCCCCCAGCTAGGCCTGGAGCATCGTCAGGCAAGGCGGCTTGCGCTCTGCAAGTGGGCGGCTAGGGACACGGTGCACAGGAAGTGTAATACAACGCGCTGTGGCACAGTGGCTGGCCTGAATGGAATTCCCACCTCCACCAATTAGCAAGAGCAGGGCCTTGGGAGAGTGGCTCACAGCCCCTGAGCTTCCATTTCCTTCTGCTTCAGTAGGAGCGCGTCCCTGCTGCCCGCTCCAGGCATAAGCACTGGATCAGTGTCGGTGCCCTCTCCCCTCGACCCGTCCCCTCCCCACGCCCTCCCACGGTCTCCAAGGCATCTGCAGCCGCCTTCGAGGTCTTCTAGGAGCATCTGCTGGCCAGAGCCCTTGGGAAACAGTGAACGCGCGGTGCCCTGCGGAGCGGGGGCTGTGGCCCCAGGAACCAGACCGCTAGCAAAGGCTCTCTGGAGCCACGACTGCAGGGAGGCCCGGGCGTCAGTTCCAGCTCTGTGGAGACTCAGGTCAGCCGATCTCCACGGAAGAAAACCGGCAATGAAAATGAGCCTTCTTTTCTAGGAGATAGCTCAGCCCGCTAGGATGACCAAATTCGAATTGGCCGCGTTTTATCTACTGAAATCAGAAAGTATGTACTGAGACTATCACCTGTGCAATAAAGCTCAAACGTGGTGATGCTGGCTTCTTTCATGAGACAGGCGTCCTTACCTTTGCGATTGTGTTTGGAGCAAACCCAGACCCTTCAGGAAGAAACGTGTTCCTGCGGGGATTGAGACAGGACAGAGTTAGGCACTGAAACAAGCAGTTAATTCCCATTAGAGGATTAAGGCGCTCGTGTTCACTTTGAATCAGAAAAGCACATTGTGAATCGAATGGTGTACAGCCAAGAGGCTGCCTGTCAGAGTGAATAAAGGAGAGGAGTGAAGGAGGGGGCAGGAGCACAGGCCGCCACGCCGGCCAGGAGGCGAGCAGGGCCTCGCCTCCCCGGGGGAAGGCAGGCTGGGCCCCAGCTTCTGGCGCAGACGCCCACCAGTGCTTTCCAGCCTGCTGACTGCGCTGTCCCCACCACCCGGGCTTTTCCTTGCCACCTCTGCGGCTGACACACAGGAGATACCATCATTCAGTTTGGCGAACTTTCCTTTTCAGCCGATTCTAAGTAAAACAGCTCCGCAAGCCATGCCACTGTGCTCAGGACTGGGTGGGAGGCTTGCTGCTGGGGTCAGGGTGTGGGCACCCTCCACTCAGGAACAGGAGAGCTTGAAGCCGGACCTCTGTCCCAAGCCCAGCCGGCCAGGGCTAATGTGGACGTCATGTGTCACAGGCCAGGGGCCAGCACGGACGTGGAACCATGCTCAAAGGCTCCCCAAGTTTTCCTTCAGCACAATCTGGTTAGCTCCACGTTATTCATGTTTAAAAAAACAAAAGCACTCGTGGGAAGTCCGGCCGGCCAGCCTGGCGCACCGCGCACTCACTCAGCAGCTTCCTCTCCACAACGCGGGCACCTCTAGTTTCAGATTGCGTTGCTGAAGCAGAAATCGAAGTGATTAGCAGTCCTGCACAGAAGTGTTGGATTTTTCCTGCTTGGTTTTTTGCTCAGCCACCTGGTGGCAAGAGTGTAAAAGGCAGGATTTAAGTTTGTTAGGAATGTTTATAGATTACAACTATCAGCTAGTCCCAGTCTGGGTTCAGCGCGCACGTGCACGCACACATACCCCAGCTGAAGCAAACAAGGATGAACAGCCATCTAACTCTTCTTAAACTAACTTATAAAAGGATTTTATATGTGTACCAGTTTCTAACACAAAAGCCACCATTAAAAAAAGGTGTCTGGGGGCTGGGCGCTATGACATAGCAAGTGAAGCTACGGCCTGCAACACTGGCATTTCATATAGGCACCAGTCTGAGTCCTGGCTGCTCCCATCCAGCTCTCTAATGGCCTAGAAAAGCAGAAGATGGCCCAGTACTTGGGCCGCTGCACCCACATGGGAGACCCAGATGAGGCTCCTGGCTCCTGGCTTCGGATTGGCCCAGCCCTGGCTGTTGCAGCCATCTGGGAAGTGAACCAGCAGATGGAAGACCTCTCTCTGTCTCTAACTCTCCCTCTTACTCTGCCTTTGAAATAAAATAGATCTTTTTTGTTTGTTTTAAAGTGTCTCAATAGAATATTCTTTCTGTTCTGTTAAAACCGGTGGTCCCCAGAAGCGTCAGTGAAGTGTATACGCCGTCACTTCCAGCCGCTCTCTCCAGGTCACCCATCAGGCCTCTCACTGTGCACAGTGCCAGCTGTCAAGTGACCACCGCCTTAGAAAAACCCGACCTGGGGCACCAGGCTCAGGCCCTGCCGGCGCAGCCCGGCCACCTCCCTGCTTCTGAAGCTCCCGGGCAGCCCAGCCGCCATCCCTGTGCCGTGCTCACCTGCCTCACTGGTACCCGCCGGCGCCAGCACGGCCCTGCTGAGAACACAGTTCAGGCCACACTGTCACAGTGAGCCACTGCCTGGCCTGTGGGACCCCCGGCAGCCACGCACTGGGCATCAGCCTGGAGCAGGCGCGGCCCCCCTGCCGGGGGTGCAGTCCCTTATCTCACGGAAGCCCCACACGCCCTCCCTCCACGGTAACACTGTTTTCCCTGGAGAAGACCCTGCGCCTCTGAGGCAGTGACACACTGAATCTTCAGAGGTTTCTTAAGTCTCTAGGAAACAGGTGAAAAAACAAAATGCCTTGAACTTTGAACTTGGGCCTGACCTGCAAGCATGAAGCATGCTGGGGTCACCTCCCCGGCGCGCTCTGGGCCACAGTGCCAGGCAGGGCTCCAGGCCGCATCCTGTTGGCGCTTTGATGCTTTTCCTTTGGTGCTCGCGAGTTTCTTTATAGCAAAGACAAGGGCTTCCTGCTCTGGCCGACCCCTCGCCAACCCCTCACCAACCCCACCGAACGCCCTGGAACCGTCGGCAAACCCCTCTCACATTAGCTGCTCGGGCCCAGTCAGACGCCGGCCCCTTTGAAACCAGAAGCTCGGGTCTCCCACCACACGACTGCCCAGGAGCACGAGCTCTCGGGGTCTGTGCACACAAACAGGCACCCGGTGGCCCCTGACGCCGCCGCGCGCCCTGGACACCACCTCAGCAGCCGCTCTGCGCACTGGCGCTCTGTCCACACTGATGATCACCGACTGTTCTGCCACACCGCGGCGAAGGCAGCTGTGTCAGCATCGCCACTGCGATGTGGCCGCCACCGAGTCGCTGGAAAGGAATAGCTGGCAAACTCCCGGTGCTGTGCCGGGCACAAGCCTCTGCACACGAGCAGGAGGGGACTGCCCGGGCCTGTGGGGGCCGTGGCCCTGCATACCAGGCACAGCCAGGGGCGGGGGCCCTGCCAGCCCCTGCTGCTTCCTGGCAGCATGGCGCGGAGCCCAGCGGAGGCCTGCCAGCGGGCACCCGGGTCCAGAGCACGTGCTGGGGCAGGCAGCCAGCAGGTCCAGCACCCGGACAAAGGGCCAGTCACCCTCAGCGTGCAGCTCAGCACCCCCTGGCGCGCCTTCGGGAACCCCAGCTCCACCTGTGGCTCAAACGAGAGCAGGAACAGTGCCCATAAACCAGCCGGCTCGGGGCTGCGTGTCGCACTTAGGGCCTCAGGTCAGGGCTCACAACCACACAAGAGGGCCTCACCCCAGCCTCTCCAGGGCCGCACAGTGCTGGGAGCACATTTGCAGGCAGGGGCTCTTCTCTCATTTTCTTGCCGTGCCAGCCAGGCAAGGTCCTGAGAGAGCAAAGTGCTCCAGCCCCTTAGCCTGTGACCCAGGCCAAGCCGTCCCTCCCCACCTCCCCAGGGAGCAGGGGTGGCGGCAAGAGGAGCCAATCACACAGGGAGGCTGTCGCCCAGCAGGCCTTGGCGCACCTGTTGCCGCTGTGGCAAGACACGCCCAGGACGCTGGGGGGAACTCTCTCTCCACCAGCGTGGGAGGTGGTCCCGCGGGGTAGTCAGCTGTCAGAAACACCAACCTGGGCACCTCACCGTCAGGGCTGTTGGGGGCAGGCTTCACATCAAAGTTGGCCTCAGGAAGAGAGCCCCTGGGGAGAAGGCAAGCTGCAGGCGCCACAGCGAGTATCCCTCCTCCAAAACTCTAGGGACCGGAAGGGTGTCAGGCTTGGAATATCCAATAAACCTAACAAAATATGTTGGGGACTGAACCCATGTCTAACCACAAAACCCATGTGTGCCCTACAAGTAATCTGTAGAAGTGAAACTGACACTCAAATGCAATGACTTTGAACAGCCCTTGCCTTGAGTGTTGCGGAACAGGTTTGTTTTTTTCTTTCTATTCATTGAACTCTTTACTTACAGAGGTAATCATATGTATATAAAGTTAATTGAAGATAGATCTTAGTGAAACTAAGAATGGGAACGGAGAGGGAGGAGGAAGGAGGGTGGCAGTGTGGATGGGAGGGTGGGGACGGTAGGAAGAATCACTGTGTTCCTTAAGTTGTACTTACGAAATGCATGAAGCTGTATTCCTTAAATAAAAGGTTTCTGAAGTCAGAAAAGGAAAAATCGCGTGTGCTTCCTACACACCTTGGCGGGCACACACGGCTCGGGCGAGCCCACGCAGTGTCAGTGCCTCGGCGTCTAGACTGCAACCCCCACACGGCCACGTGTGGGAACTCCCACTCGCGGTGTCTGCTGGTGCTCAGAAAGCCTCAGGGTCTGGAACGCTTCAGTTTTCACGAGGGGCTCCTGATCTGCAGTTCAACGGGCTTCCCAGGCCCTAGTCAAAGCTACCAACAGAATTCACAACAACAGGTCTGCGGAGGCTGCCCTAAAACCCAGTTCCTCTGGGGAACCAACACGCAATGAGAACAGGCCGGCAGCCATCTTGGCGGTTGCTCCCTGGGCGCCTGGGAAGGAGGCAGTCAAGGGCAGCAGCCCCAGGTGCCGTGGTCCAGGGATGCCTGGGACCAGGGCCCCTCTGGCACCGGCCGCTGACTGACCCTCAGCCCCTGAGAAACGCAGCGCATGGCCTGCCTAGAGAACCCTTTTCCAGGCCTGCTGCGGGAGGGTGCAGCGTTTAGGTCAACTGGCAATTGCTCAAAATCCGTCTACTCTGCCTGGAGCAACCCCCTGGTCAAGGAGGAGCCAAGACCCGCACCCTGTCCCAGCGCGCCACCGCGGGACCCACGCGCCCTCCACAGGTCTTCCCTGGCGGCAGAACACGAGAGGGCAGAGACTGCCTGGCCCCTCCGTCCACGCATCTTCCCGGAGCACGGCTTCTCTGCAGCCAAAACTGAGTGGAAACGACTGCGCCGCGCGGTTTCAAGGCTCTGCTTCTCGGACACGCGGCGAGGCTGTCAGCACGGTTTGATTTTCATGTTTCACTTCCTTGGGTGGGACGTGGAGTGTGGGACGCAAACTCGCATTAGAGGACCCACAGGAGAGTCCCGCAGTTCCACACAGCCACCTTCCTCCTCTCTAGGTGTCTGCCACCAACACACACTGGAGGAAGGGAACACGGCAGCCCACTTACAGCTCCTAGACAACATGCGCAAGGCCGAGCTGCTCCAACGTGCACAGGCAGAGGTCAACACTCCCGCCGAGGCCCTGGCCAGGGGTGGCCAGTACGCCCTGGGTTCAGCAGAGGGCCCAGCTGCCCACGTCAGGAGGAGCCGTGTCCTAGGGGAGCAGTGGACAGATGGCTGGAACACGGGGACAGAGCCACGTTCCTGGCGACCGTCAGCAGTCGGCAGCAGGGGGCCCCCAACCCAAC